CCTCGACTTTTCCCCGATTGTTCCTCGACTTTTCCTCGACTTTTCCTCGACTTTTCCGGTTCCTCGACTGTTCCTCGACTGTTCCTCGACTTTTCCTCGACTGTTCCTCGACACTGTCTTTTTTTCAAGCAGTGTTGTGTTTTTTTGTTGGGTTTAGGTAGTATCATATATATTTATGTTTGTTCTAGTATATTTCTTAAGGTTTTTGCTTTACTGATGTCATTTGGCATTGTTTTTGGAGTGAAATCAGCTGTTTTTGTACAATGATGACACTTTTCTCTTTCGACTTGGCTGTTTTGATTGTTTTGTATGTGTTTTTTATTGTTGTTATGCTTTTTTTGTTTTTTTTTAGGTTTTTTATTGTTTCATCTTTTTTTTGCAACTTGCCTTGTGAGATGTTCTGTTCTTGAAAATGTTTTTGTCAGAGATCTTGCCTGGGTCAAGCGCTTTAGAGATGGCATCTAGGGAAGGTCCTCGAACATGGACGCAATGTATGGAGTGGCCTCAGAAGGGTTTTGATTCTTTGCAGCGTTTTCTGAAAGATGAAGCATTGCATTTCGCTCAATGCCCCAGCGTTGTCATGACCAGCAGTTTTAGTGGTGTTGGCACAGCAGAGATAGCTGGCCATATGGGGCACCAGGCTTTTTGCCAAGGCGTTGGTTCTGCAGCAAAATTCTGCTCCTATAGCTGCTGTGATGTGGACAAGCATTGCCAACGCTTGCTGTCCTTCCAAGATCATATGCGTGTTTTTGGGAGCACTACTGAGCTGTTCGAAGACAGTGTCCTGTCGAAATTGCGCGCGAAGATCAAGGCTGTGAAGATCAAAGTACGCAATGATGGTTATCCTTTGAAACATGCTGGGATTGAAGTATGCCACTTTGCATTTGATTTGTTCAAAGACCAGCGTCCAAAGACTACTTCCTTTTGCTACCGGTGCAATTCCCACTGCCAGCGGTATCCAGATGATGCCTTTTTGTCCTCCACAAATTCGATTTGGATTGATGTGTCTGGATCCCCATGTATTCCATGGACGCCAGCAGCCTATGGGAACACTGAGAAATGGCTCCATTCTTCGGTAACGGAAGCCTATATGTGCTGGATTTTCTCTTTGGTAAATCAAGGATCCCGTCCGCCAGATGTCATAGTGCATGAGAATGTCTCTGGCTTTGATTACGAGGGATCATATGTCTTTCTTCAGGACCTCTACACAATGGAGTCATTCATCATCAGCCCGGAGGATGTGGGACTTCCTGTTGCACGCCCTAGGAGGTACACGCTGTTTGTGTTGAACAGACACAACCTGATGTTGTCATTCTGCAAAGAGACTTGGGAGAGACTATTCTTTGCATTTGCCAAGATGGATGCATCTTTATTTCTCCAGGCCACAAAGCAGCAAATTCAAGATGACTTCCATGCACAGGTTCAAAGCAGACGACATCTCAGTGATGTGGACAAAGATTCAATTACTTTGAATGACCTGCTGACAGAAAAGGAGTTGGCTGTGGTCAGCCAAATGCGGTTGAAAGTATTGAATATTCCTCCATCCTCAAGGCCAGTTGCCTGGTTTGTGAACCTGAGTCAGTCCTTGGCTTTCCAGCCAGGTATTCGACAACGACTTCACTCACCAACCTTGATGACAAGCAGCCGGCTTTTTCTTGATTGTTTGGAGGACCCTGTGATGAGTCGGCATATTCATCCCTTGGAGCTTTTTGCTATGCAATGTTTGCCCATCTTTATGGAGGGGCCTGGACAGAGTTCTTTTGAAAAGAATGTGAAACAGGCAGCCATTCCTCGCGGCCATCAGATTCGCATGGCAGGTAACGGGATGAATTGCATGGTTATTGGGCAAGTGCTCTTGTTTTGCATGGGCAGCGTTGCCTGGTCGGAATCATCGGGCAGTCGCAAGCGCAAGCTATCAGATACAAATGTCTAGATAGATCAGTGCAGCTTTAGGCTATTGTTTTCTTCAAAACAATGATCTGCCAAATTTGTGTGAAAATCATATCTTCGCGCCGTCAGATTATTCACCCTCAGGATTGACCGACTCTTATGTTGACAACTTTTTTAGCTGTGACTTTTCCTTATACTTGCAGCCTTTTCAGCACTGGTTCATTTGTGAGCAGTCCAACCATGTCGACTCCCGCAGCAGAAGGGCAGCAGGTAGAGATCATGCGTGAGATAGATGATCAAGTGAAGGAATTTCTTGAGGCTTCAAAGGAACAGTCTCTTTCCCAATGCAGCACACATGAGGGAAAAACTGAGAAGTCCGAGGCCCTGACGCTTCTTGAAGATGATGTTGCTCCCCCCGCCAGTGGAATCTCCCACTGTCCCAAAATCCAAGCGTGCGAAAACAGGTCCTCCATCTTCAACGGCTCTTGTTCAACATCATGATGCCGAGATGGATGCCTCTGAGAGAGCTTCTGTCAAGTCAACCGGGACCAAGGCCAACAACCAGAATTTGGGACAGAAGAAGCAATCCAAGGCAAACTGCAGGTACTGCAAAGGCTGTGATTTGTGGTATTGCCCGGTCAACATGGCCTCAAAGAGCAGCATGTGCCATCGGTGCAAGCATTGCATGGATAATATCAGCCGAGCTGCTGCCGCTGAAGGCCAAAAAGACTGGGCCAAAGAGTTGCGGGGTGACCCTTTTCGATTGCAAGCCGTCTTGAAGAAGTATCGCCAGATGGTTGGCACCGAAGCTGGCAACAGGACCAAGCTGCCCAAGGGAACCCTTTTTCAGAGCTTGCAGCAGGTTTCAGCAAAGAGCCGGATTCTGTTTGATACAGAACTTGAAATGATGTCAGACGATACCTTTATGCAGCACTCTGCTACTGATGCTGGAGGACGTTTATCAAAGAGCGCTGCGAAGGCCCAGTGGGCACTTTGGGAGCAACAGATCAAATCTGGTGATGCTCCCGAAGACCTCATTTATGACACCAAGAAGGGCTTCTTGAGGATTGCCTGCTCAACCAGAGATACAGTGCACATGCAGAATGATTCTTGCTTCGATAATTTGGCAATGCTTGGGGTTTTTAAGTTCATTGACATGCTTGGTCACGAAAGCTAGCATGCTAGCTGAGTTCTTCTTTGCTTTAGCAATGTTGTGGTGGGAGGGGCTGCGTGCCTTAAAGATTGATATATCAAGCTAACCCCCCCCCCCGCGGTTCAACTCCCAGCTGCGCCGTGTAGGGGGTTGGTTGAACGTGTGAACGTGGTTGGTTGGGTGTAAACGGTGGCTTGGTGTAAGGGTGCTGCTGCTGCTGCCGCTCTGCTGCTTGCTGCTGCTGTTTGCTGCTGCCGCTGGTTGCCGCTTTTGTAGCTGCTGCTTTGCTACTTGTTGCGGCTTGGTGCTGCTGCTGCTGTTTCTGACGACGCCGCTGCTACTGCTGCTTGCTGCTTGCTGCTGCTGCTTGCTGCTTGCTGCCGGTTGTGCTGCTGCTGCTGCTGCGGCTTGATGCTGCGCTGCTGCTGCGTGGTGCTGCTGGCTGGCTGCTGGTTGGTGGTTGCTGCTGGCTGCTGGCTGCAGGCGGCTGCTGCTGCTGCTGGCTGCTGCTTGCTGCATAGGACTTGTACTTCACCGTTACAAGTTGTTTACCCCTATTTCTAACCTAATGCATGCATAAGCGGGTGGTAAATTTACCCCCCAGGCTTGCTATAACCATACACCGGCTATTTCCTCAAGACACTCTATTCTTGATACCTTTTACCAGTGCTTATCCTACACTACGGACGCCCTAGTGTATGCACAGTCCTTGTGATGCTTACCCCTCGTTCCGGCTCAAGGCATACATAAGCGGGGGGTAAATTTACCCCCCAGATTTGCCATAAGCATAAGCCGGCTATTTCCTCAAGACACTCTACTCCTTATACCTTTTACCAGTGCTTATCCTACACTACGGACGCCCTAGTGTATGCGCAGTCCTTGTGATGCCAGAAATGCTTACCCCTCTTTCCGGCATAAGCGGGGGGTAAATTTACCCCCCAGATTTACAATAACCATACACCGGCCATTTCCTCAAGACACTCTATTCCATATACCTTTTACCCGTGCTTCTCCTACACTACGGACGCCCTAGTGTATGTACAGTCCGTATGATGTCAGAAATGCTTACCCCTCTTTCCGACTCAAGGCATACAAAAGCGGAGGGTAAATTTACCCCCCAGATTTGCCGATCACGCATCTTCGTGCCTGCCAACGAGTGCACCCGGGTTGTTCCAATGTACCCTTCCCAGTCAGCGATGTCACATTTACATTCTTTAGTGCAAAGTATGTACATAGCAACCTTCCTCCCAAAACATGTAATCCCTACATGCTTTGCCGGCTATGTAACTAGTACATCCGGTGCGATTCGGCTAGCTTTCGACCTCTCCCCCTGGCCTCAAGTTTTTATGCTAATGCTCGGGGTTTCTAAGTCACGAAAGCTAGCGCCAGATAGCTGGAGTTGCCCTTTCTTTATCCAGTATTTTCTCCTGCAAAGAATTTTATAGTAAATTGCTATCCCAACCCCTCCCTGGCAAAGAGGCTGTAGAATCCACCCTTCCCAGGTTTCATTTTTCCTGCTCCATTTTGCAACTCTATTCCTTAGGAATTGGAGAGGTCCAAGACCCTGCAGACGCGCGAGAAGGAACAGAAGAACATCAGTTCAGATGAGCTGATGCGGAAGAAGAAGGAATTGGCTCAAGGTCATGATCAGATCTTTGGTGACGACTGTGATGACTTCAAGGACCCCTCACTGACAATGTCACTTGTGCGCTCGGCAGGCTCCAGTGGTCAATCTTTCCATGGACGGTCGCAGGACGTGAACCTGTCTGAGTTGATCACCGAAGGAGCATCGGCGTCGTCGTTGGTGATTCCTGGTGCTGAGGAAGTGCCCAGTGCTGAGGAGGAAGGCCCGAAGAAGCCTGATCCTAAGCCCAAGGGCCGTGGCTGGGATAAGGCGACTCAGATTACTGCAAAGGTCCGAGCTGAACAGGGTTCTTTGCTTGAGCTTGAATGCGCTTTGAATCAGCGCCTTGCCGATGTTGAAAAGGTCAAGAAGGAATTGCAGAACAAGTCTTCAGAGTGCCAAGCTGAAGTGGCAATGGAGCTTTGCACAGTTGAGAAAAGGAGGAGCTTCTTGAAGCTTGTCTTGGACAAGACCGAGGAGGGCATCAACAAATTGAGTGCTGAGATTCAGAAAGTGACAGATTCCGCAGCCGATGGCAATGCTGAAGAGGAGGCTGGATGTGATTCCCAGTCCCGTTCAGGGCAGATCCAGAAGGCGCCTCCTTGCGCTTCCTTTGCGCGACTGTGCACTTTGAAATCTTTGGAGAATATGGTTGAGGAGCTCTACGGTGCAGAGAGCGCATCTGAATTGTCACTTTGGTTTCAAGCATCCTTTTGTTGTTAATATTTTGGATATATCACAAAAACCCGCCGATAGGCAAGGCTTGAGTTCTTAGGGTGAACAAAGTGAATATCAGGTATATTTCTAGAGGGCTAAATAGGTTTTACTTTCGTTGCTTAGTCCACTGCATCCAAGGCGTGACTTGGTCAAGGCCAGAGCTACTGCCAGGAAGCCAATCACCGAGCTTTGTGCAGCCTCGAAGACTGCAGTTGTGGAGCTTCGTAAGGCCATTACGGCTTTTCAGCAGAGGGCTTTGAAGCGAACCAGTGGTGGTGGCAACGAGCGAGTGAAGAAGTCTGCGAAGACTTCTGGCGGCCTTGGTTCCTACTTGCTTGATGGCGGCTTTGAGCAAGCTGCTTCTTTTGCTTGCCATTCTTCTGGCACGGTGAAGGAAGACCCTTTGAAGGTTTTGGGTGGGCTTTTGCACGAGCCTTTGTTGGTGACCTTCAATGATTCCCAGAAGCAGATGTTCGAGACTTCATGTTTCAAGGCAGCTACAGACATCTTCATTGGTGCCTTTGCTGGGAAGGTCAAGAAGGCGCCCTGGGCTTGTTCGAGTGCAATAAATGCTTTTTCTTTTGCAGCTATCATATTCATTTTCTATGGACATGTCATTGATAAAAATAGATTTAAAAGAAATGTTATTCCACGCTTGTTGCAGGAGGATTTGGCAAACGCCCAGAAGCCTTTGGATCAACGTGTGAAGGCCAGGGCTGCTGCTAAGCTTTCGGATGAGGCTTGCCATGACGTGGAGGAAGTCTTGAGGGCTTGTTTCCTTCGTCACGCGATCAATTCGGTCAAGGATCTCTCTCCGGGCCTTTGTGATCTTGCACATTTCGGGATTCAAGGCGCCCATGTTTTTTGAACAACTTTTTCCAAGGTCCCCTCAATACAAACTTATCCGCCTGTTAATGCTTAGGCTAGGCCCGGGTTTTGGGGGGGGCGGGGTTGTAAATTAGTTGATTTTGTGGCAAGAGGCTCACCACATATGTTTTCTCCAAACAGTTTACTGTTGGGGTTCTATCTTAGAAAGAAAAGAGCTGGCCACACTCACTGGCCGCGCCCCTGAACTCTGTGTTTGGGCTCCGTGGCTGGGCTCTGTGGCTGGGCCTTGTCCTCCTCTTGTTTTTCTCTTGGCCGCGGCCCTGAACTCTGTCAACTCTGTGGCTGGGCTCTGTGGCTGTCTGGTGATAGCCCGTCCGCTATTCTGCAAGCCTAAAAAACTGCAATGCCTTAGTGTGTGAAGACAAGTGGATGTCTGCATGATTGACATGACGACTGCAGAGTTCCCTGCGTACGTCAATGTAGTGGTAATTTTTCCTCTTGGGTTGGCCAGGGGCGGGTCTGAAGTCGGTACAAACAGGGGCTTAAACTTTAAGCCCCTGTTTGTACCGACTTGGGACCCGCATTTCTTGCATCATGGCCCCGGGCCTGGGCCTTGTCCTCCTCTTGGCCGCGCCCCTGGACTCTGTCAACTCTGTGGCTGGGCTCTGTGGCTGGGCCTTGTCCTCCTCTTGTCCTCCTCGTGGCCGCGCCCCTGAACTCTGTCAACTCTGTGGCTGGGCTCTGTGGCTGGGCCTTGTCCCCCTCTTGTCCTCCTAGTATACAGCAACTCTGTGGCCCGGCTCTGTGTCCGGGTCTTGTCCTCCTCTTGTCCTTGTCTTGGCCGCGCCCCTGAACTCTGTGGCTGGGCTCTGTGGCCCGGCTCTGCGTTGAATCGTTTTGAGGCTGTTTGGGGTCTATGCTTGTATATTTTTTTTTTTGAAACGTCTACGAGGTGGAAGCATTATGTCTGGCGCAGAGCAAGAGCAGTTGGCGTCTGTCCGTTACCTTTTGAAGGGCAACCGCACTCTGGTTTGTGCCCCTGCCAGCGACATCTTGCTGTTGATGCAGAAGTCTGGTGTGGCAAAGAAGGGTTGCAACTTGTCGTCAATGTGGAAATTCTTCATGGATATGAACGACTCTATGGTGCAGACGTTGCTCTCTCTGGGAGGCAAACTCTATGCCGTGACTCAGGGACCTGGAGACTTGCTGTATATTCCCAGCGGCTTTGTCTTCGCAGAGCGTGTGGGCACTCAGTCTGACTGCCTCGGCGTTGTCTTGCGAGGATTGGTTACCCCCGAGCATGATTCCGCAGCCAAATCTCGTTTGGAGTCAGTGAAGAATATCGTCACGGATTCAGGAGACGTCTCCGGGTTGTCAGGGATGGATAAGCTCCTCAGTTTTTACCAGTGAGGACATCGTTGAGCTCTGACAGCAGGAAGCCGCATAGTACAGCGCAGAGCTTAGATATGTTGCCTTTTGACAGTGGGCTGTCTTTGGCACTGGGTTGGTCGGGTTGGTTAGCTCAAGAGCCAAGGGGAGCGTTGAAGCTGTTCAAACCCAAAATGCCATTTGTAAGGTTTCAATGTAGTTGCTCTTGAAGTCCTTCCCGGCGTTTTCAGTTCTCTTAGTGCGGGCCTTCGAGGCATTTTTGCGAAACGGCAAGCTGCTGCGACGGTAGAAAACCAATTTGACTTCCTGACCTGTTTTGCTCAATGTTGCATATATTGCCTACCGTCTGTTTTTGCCTTGCCTAGTATGGCTATTGAATTTCATTTTCCCGCAATCTTTGGCTTCATCGTTATTTTGAGACATTGCAATTCCACATCGAGTCGCTGCAGAGTCACTGCAGACTCTGTGACCCGTGGTTTTTGTAGATTTGTAGATGCCCGGTAAAGATGACGCAGGGGACTTTGTTCTTGAGGCCGAGATAGCTTCAGTGTGCGGGACGTTGTTGGTGATGCATTCATTCCACTACCAGCATGTGAGTCAGCGCTTCAAAGATTTCCATTGGCGGTTCAATGTACTTATCAGGGCAATTCACTTTGCGGTTGGCGTGATTGACAATCCGAAGAAGCATGACGTCCTTGCTAAAACACTATGTATCATGCTGACAGTTCCTTGTCATATTTGTACGGTTTTATGGTTTATCATTGTGTGACAGTGTGCCATGGGGTTGCAGTAGTTTGTGGGACAAGGTGATCGTTTGAACCTGGCCATTCCACCAGATTCCCCCCAACCCGAGGTCAAGCAGCGCTTCGGGAACGTCCTTGATGACGAGGGACATTTTGAGAAGAAGCCGAATGCAGATTTGTTGAGCAGGTTAAAATTGGATTCTTCAGCAGCTACAGAACCCAAGGCCATGTCAGATAAAATTGGTCAACATCTTGAACGTGCAGCAGCAGAGAAGCTTTGTAGCAAGCAGAGCATTGCATTAAGCCTCCAGGAGCAATATTAAGACGTCCAAATATGTTTGTGCTGACAAGTTTCAGGCAGTGAACACCCGACAGTGGTACTGCTTTTAGCGTTAATGTTTGCAATTTCTACCGCTGCTTTTTGCCAGGAGTAGCCTACGAAGCATGCGCAGACCTGCTGGATGACTACCATCCAATCTTTCAATTCTGCCTTGCCGTCCTGTCAGACCTGTCCACGCACATCGATGCGTTTGCTGGCGACTCTTAAGCTTTTGAATGGCATGGACCGAGAGCTAATTTTGTGAAATTTTGTGTCCAGTCCGCAAGCTCTTCATTTTGGAAAACGAAGGCGGTCAATCAAGTTGTCGAGCTGGTAGAAAGTGAAGGCAGTCAAGCTGGTCGAAAGTAAAACGATTTTTTGATTGTTTTGAGACTTGCCCGGCTTGACTCGCTTGTAGTGAATCTGGCAGACAGGGTCTGGTTGACCTATCGGCCTTCCTTTCCGCGTCCTGGCCAACGCGCCAATTTAGCGATGACAAAAGTATGCGTTGGAATTCTTCTGAGCGTCTCTGGCAACTTTCGAGTCATTTTTGAGATCTGATACTTGTGAGAGATGCAACTGCAACTGACAGTCCTGTGACTTTGATTTGCTGTGCACACACACACAGACACAATTTGCGTGTCTCCCCAAATAACGAGAAACCGGACTGGACTGGACTGGGCGCTCCTCCTGCTGTATTTTGTATGAAAACCCGCTCCTTCATAGCCGCCTTTACTTTTGTCCTTTTGGAAGTTGCCTGCATATAGTGTTTTTTGTATCCTTGGCCAGTGTGCTAAGTCTGCTAAGTCGCTAAGCATCCCATTGGGTTGTCCGATTACCAATATTTATCATGGGATATCAGGTCATCAAGATTGTCAAGCCCCAATCCACACCGAGTCACCGAGTGTTTGAGTCTGGGCCTGGGTAATAGCTTGGCGACGGCAGTTTAGGGCCTAGTGGCCTAGCGCAGCCTTTGGTCAGATGGGGGCATTGGGATTGATGGGTTTCATGTGCCTGGCATTCTTTTTTTTGGTATGGTAGCTGGAGCCATGTAGGGGACAGTAGAAACCTAGAAATCTCATACTCGGACTCGCCTGGAGTGAAGCTACTAGTCAGCACTACAAAGACATATCAAGAGAGCGCGCCTGGCAAACATGCCGTAACAGACCAATTATGTTTAATTCGTGTATATAGTATTCGCTATGATTCCTTACGCGCGTGGGCAGCATACACCTCGATGTTTATATAGTGGACGTGCACGAACAGCACATAAGACAAAGTTCGTAGTTGGCATGTATACAACGGTGACACCAGGCCACCTGTTTGGCTGGCCTGAGTGATGGTACCGTAGGCTGGGGTCTGTGTGCTCGTGTGGATGGTGGATGGGTCCAAGTAGTGTGTTCACGTTTGGGTTGAATGTTGGATGAAGTCGAATGATGATGAACGAGTGAGAGAGACGTGCATTCACAAGCTGGTTTTGCTTTCCTGCTGGCTGGTTTGCAGTGAAGATCGGTGATCATTAGCATTTGCCTTTTGCTTATCAAGTTTTAACTTGGCAGAACAAATTGGTCATTTTGTGGTTTGATTTGTCCGAACGAATGTTGGGCTGAAGAACTTCCTTTGCTGCAGGCGTGCTCCCCTTCAAAGGTGAACGTGGTAGCGCCAATCGCGGGGTTGGCGGATCTGTGCCACCGGCCCGATGTTGACAAAGAGGTTTTTGGTTGTCCTTGGCATGGATGGTGGATGGGAACTGTTGCAACCAGAAAGGCATGGCAATCGTGTTTCCACTTGTATAGGGGATGGGATGGGGTTTCTGTCTAAGAATTCAGATACAGAATCATTTGCCTTATGGGGACGGCACACATGTGATGATGTGTAACAGCCAGCAACGGGCAAGCTCTGGCCGATGCTTTGAACACTCTTATACTCCAAATCACATGGAAGTTGATCGCCGATTCTTTGCTTAGTGGCTTAGTGACTTAGTGCTTTTGCCAAGGAGGCATTTGACCCATGTCATGCCAGGATAACATTTTGCCTTTGGTGACTCACACCGCTGCAGCTGCAGCCTCAGCACAGGAAAGACAAAGGCGAGGTCAACTCATCGACTTCTGGCAATGGCCTTGACCCAGCCGTTGGGGCATGTTGAGACAGTAACAAGAAGCTACTAGTAACAAAGGGCATTGGTATTAGGTTGGAGGCCATCGCTACTAGGAGCAAGAAGCTACTAGTAGTTTCAACGTGGCTTAATTTACTCCTTTAGCTCACAGATGCCAAGGTAGTAGCCCTTGCTTTGGACGAGAGCGAGCAGTGGCTCTTTTCTGCCAGTGCCGACAAGGTACAGTGATGAGTTGCCTCTATTCCTTTTAGCTCCATGGAGTCCAAATTCTATATATATAGTCTGATGTAGCAACTTTGCTCACAAATGTGATTTTTGGAGGCCATTAAAGTCTATGACCTCAAGTATCAGCGTATTCAGTGTGAGGTGGGCACGGATGTACATGCAAAGCTTTGCAAGCAATGTGATCACAGAGATGGACTGGCTTACAAGCTGCTGCATGACAGGGCTTGCAGTTGAGATTGGACTCGAGGTCAACAGCCTTGGCAGTTCACAGTGCATGCACACCTAGGGTGAATGTGGTGGTGGTGGTGACAAAATGATATCTATCCTTTCCCAAGAGAAACTTGTGCCATGTACAGCTGGGCTTGGGACTTCATCACCCCAATCCCAATCCACTTGTATAAACATTTCTTTGAAACCATGGTAACCATGCCACCATTTGAGCAGTCGTTTCATGTCGTGCCCACTCTTCTTGGTAGATCCGATTTTGTAGGTGCAAGTGCCATCGCCTGCCACTTTGATGATTCACTGTCAGGAGTCAGCTTCAGACTGTTCAATTTTCTTGAATTCTTTCACTACCTTTTGACAACTTTGAGCCACGGTGCTCTTGAAGCGACAAGGTTAGCACAAGGATGCACAACGATTTTGCAACCACCGCAGTGGCCAATTTGGGCTCAAGTAACTTATATAACTCCATAGCACCTGCCAGGCCGTTGGTGGGTGATGTTGGGTGCGTTGTGCTTGTATCCTGCTTCCCTGGGCGTTCTAACCTAACTCTTCCAATGACAGCCCTGAAGTGGCCAGGTCTTGCTTCCATTTACAAATCAGCGATTCTCGGCTGCTGGGCAGCCGGGCGCGGTTGAGATGGGCAGTTAAAGCATCAACCATTTTTCACACACCGATGCTCAGTCTTGGGCAGCTGCCTGGGGATAGAGTGCCGGTCCTCTCCGTGACCTAGAAGAAGTGGTTGGGGTGGATTCGATTCTTGGTAGAACATGAGGGAACCATATTGCACTTGCCTTTTGAGGCTGGAAGCAGTCCCGAAACGTTTCGATATTGGCACATGCGTCAATGGCAGGGCATGCGCCAAGTGGCAGTATTTTGGGCAGCTTTGCTGCCCTTGGTGGCAGCGGAGGCAGACAGTCCAGCAGTCTAGCACAAATTTTGCACAGGAATGTTTGTGATATCGCGTTTCTTGACCGCACTCTCATCCTCAAATTAGATTCAGAACTGGACGCCACAGAAGAGGGCTTGCGAAGTAAGACCTTGCACATCAGTCATTAGTTATTTGCAGTAGTTACTTGTGTCGCAAGGCAACCGCCCATCTCCATCATCACTAAATTATCCACTGCCGCCAGGTGGAAGCTGTGCCTGCCGATGAATGTGAGGAAGATGCCGGCACCTGCGCGCTGTGCCTTGGGAAGCAGTCTTGGTGTTGACGAACCTCATTGCAGTCAATGAAGCCATTCAAACTTGCTCAGTATTTCTACTTAACTTGGCAGAAGCAGACAGCGTCGTAAAAAGGTGCGTGGGCAAAGTTTGTTAAGACTGTTAAGTGCCGGATTATTGAGAAAGCTGTTGGGAGCCACAGATGCTTTGCAACTCTTGATCGCCATTTCTGGGTGCACGCGGGTGTCGCTAAGGAGTGCGCTGCAGCTAAAGACAGGGAAAGAACCGACGCCCGGAAGTTTCTCTGTGACCCTTGCTACTGAGGAGCAAACTTCATCAAGTGTCCAAGCAGACAAACCTACAATGGAAAGCTGACACACTGACACATACTACTGATGGAAGTTTCATTTTTGGGGATGCAACATGGAGGTTGAAGTCTTGGTCTTGATGCACTCGCTTCCGAGTGGCTCTAATCGTCTTCTCTGGAGAACTGCCTTAAGTATTGATGTGACATTGCTGTAGCCAAAGAAGACTGATAGTTTAATTTATGTTTGTGGTTTAATTGATTCATATTACTTCATTGATGGATTCTGTTTCAGTTTGTTCGCTTTCTGGACTGGGACATTTCGGAGGACGCAGAAGGCCGCGTTTCGGCTCCAAAGGCCGGAAGCCCAGGAAAGACTTGGACTTTCAAAAAGCAAATGGTAAATTTGTTAAGTTCATATTGCATCATATGTCCATGTGTTGTTTTTTTGTATGTAAACCTTTGACATGCTCTTCAAGCCGCAGGCCTTTTGCAACATATATGCGATGAGATTCGCGAAAGTTGTTCAGTCCGCAAAAAGGTTTATCGATGTCTCGTTTTAACAATGCGTCAGGAACTTTCCACTTGAAGGCACCTACATGAAGAAGTTTTCTGCAGTCGTTTATTTGCTAATCGAAGATAACGAAGGTTGGCACCGCGGCAGTCAGGACAGATGACCAGGACAGTCTGTATGACTAATAGACTGCGCATGTTTCGGAGGAATCAGAACCACCAGCGGATGTCCACCAAAGTCCCGCGCATGAGCTGCGAACGTCCAGGTTACCAGACTCCACTCCTGTATCCCTCTGTTGCCTTACCTTTTCGGTCACGAAGCTTCTTGGAGGTGAGTTGGACTAGGTCGTGCATGGCAATGTTGCAGCCCCCTTTCACTCGCTTAAGTCTCAACATGTCTCAACTTCCTTTGATAAGGATGCTCCTCATGGTTTGTCATGAGTCATAGCCATAATTACCGCACCTGACTCTCTGGGTCTTTTTCTAGAATCCAGAAGCCTTTGCAAGGTGGAAGCTGTCACTAGTTGTATCTCGCCTATATCCAGCACATGTCAACTAACTACTGAGGGGTGTGATACGTTTAGGAACCTGCTTGGAAAGAATGGGCGTTCCATGGCATTCCTGGGATAAAGGATGCTGACCAACCACCACATACAAAACGGAACCACAAGACGACGTGTCGTTCATTCTTTGTGATTTTGCAGCACATCAGGCCGCCTTGCAGGAAGGCGCCTGTATGGCTGCTTGTTGGGGTGCTTGTTGGTCATTCTGCCAACAGTATACACAGAAAACGCATGCTAATCAAATCAGAGATTCGTAAGGGAGTAGCTAAAAGATGCAAAAAGATTGTGGGCAAGATTGCTTTTTTGCGGCAGCCTCGTCTGAAAGGTGCAGAACAAGAGAGACGGGCAGGCGATCAATCACGGCACCAGAGGTGAGGAAGAAGATGTTTGTGACATATCGCGAGACCAGAGATTCCGTGTTTCCATTGAGATGGGTTTCGACACCGCTTGCTTGGCTTGCCCACCATCCGGTACGGTACCATACCCCTACCCTTAAGGATCGCAATGTCACCTCAGTCTTTACAATATCAAGAAGAGGGATGCAGGTTCAAGGGCCTCCATATCATCTCCATTCATCTCCTTTCGTTGGCTGGGCGACCGCCAAGAAGCCATGTCTCATGTTTCAGGGGAGCGGCTTGCTGCCGATGCGCCTCGGGCGAAGTTGGATTTTCAGCAACGGGGAGCTGCGGCTTTTGATCCTTGACTGCACAGCCCTTGTAGCTGTTGGTCACGTTGGCTAAGCCTCTTAGCGGTGGGTTCAGTCTTGCGGCCTGTGGTCGACCTGGTGTATCAGAATGTACTTGAATGTACCTATTCGGCATCCCTTTGTCGGACTGTCAGAATTGGTGCGCATGCAGGCCATGAATTGCAGCAAAATCCGCAACACTCATCCGACTAAGTATGTTTGTGGCGACTTGCTCATATATTTGGGACTATTTGGGCATGATGCCTTTGCGGGATGTGCCGCCACGGCCACTAGAGACCCTCCTGCACACAGCAACCGAACAAGTTGAAAAAGAAAGCAAGGACTATCAAGGACCCCTTCAGTCAATAGAGCTAAATCATGAAGTTGCCCAAACACATTCTTTGTTCACTGCCGACCGCGGCTGCAAAACTTTCACATGGTCACACTGCCTTGCGGCTGCGGTGAGTGATCAGCAGCTTTAGGCAGCGGACGTCTAGATCGAACAGTGGCCGCTCCGACAGGATGCAACGAGCTCCTTGGCGGTTCTACTTGTTGCTGGACTTCAGATGCTATAGTAGTCATATAGTTACTTTTTGGCATGCTGATTCACAGGCTCCAATCTCGGATCATTTGACGATTCAACTGCGTTTTCCAGTTGACGCTTCCAAATTGTTCAAGAATGTCTACTCTACTCATTCCACTTCTTCATGATTAATATTCTTTATATCCAGAAATAGTTTCCCCGTTAACTATCGTTGTCCATTGTTCCACATTTGTCTTGCCAAAACTATTTGTTCTGCACATGCTCAATTATGCTCAATATTGTTTGACAAGCCATGCTCGCGGTTCCCATGGCGATTTGATCTCCGTTTGCAGGCCATCTCTTTTGCAGTCAGCCAGAACTGCATGTGCACAGCAGTGCGGCAAGCAGTTGAGGCTCCGCTCCTAGACAATCTGCAGCAAGGACACGAGAACAGAATGCTTAGATGTTGCTTGTACAGCCTTGGTCCTAGCCCCCACTACCCTTGGCTACTATAGTGTGAGCAAGACGGCTTTCGATTTAAATGCTAAGCCTGCAAGTGCTCCTGCTGTTGGGAAGTGCCTAACTCTGGCTTATGGCTGCTGAGGCGGAAAAGCTGGTACCCGGCTGACTTTCAGTGACGAACATTTGTGGGGGACGTTCCTCCCACACATTCGCCACCAGGGACCGACAATTTGTTCATTGCAATTTGCATCCCGCTTGGCCAGCGATGTGAGTTGTCTGGGCTGCCACCTCCAAGGATGAGGTCTCATAGTCATGACGCAACCTCCATGAATCACCGCCGGTCAAAAGAAGGCTGCTTTGACTGGAGGTAGTTCCTGAAGCACCCTGAAGCTGGTCATCAGCTAGCACTTCCCTCGATCTCCGACTTCATGGTAGATGAATGAACCAATGTATAGTTGCCAATGCCAAAGGAGCAACGCCGCCTCTTCACCTCGCTCAAGAATGGAGTCGTGGTTGCATGGGACTTGGACGGCGGAAGCCAAGTGCAGAATCGATGTTGTGTAAAGAATGAATCCATAGATCCACAGGAATCCCACCTTCCTGACGTGTTCTGAATGCCATGCCTTGGTGCTTTCAACCGGGTGTTTGGCACCTGAAGATGTTTAGCCTCAGGTTTGGGACACCTCGATACTACCAATTCACAAGGTTGCCAGTGTACCGGATGGCTGCTTGGCAGTGCTTGGCAGGGTTGTCGGCTTGATTGAACGTGCAATATGCCGGGGGGCACTTCGGACTTAGGATGCCTGTAACTCAGACATTAGTATGAGTAGGGGCCTGAAGTGGGGAGATAATGATATCATGGCGTAGGGCCGAGAACTTGTTTTGTTCCTCAATGTTCCTCAGATAAGGTCATGTTGAGCCAGTCTATGCCAATCTGTAGTCCAAACTCAGTCGGGTCAAAATTGCAAGAAACTCTTCTCAACTCGGTTGGGCTCCAAGGCATGCACAATGGCAGTCCGATCACGGCCATGGACTACGACGCGAACACCGGGACGCTCTTCACCGGGTGGCCCAACTCAGGGAAAGCGCATGCCCTGATTCAAAAACGGCCTCATGTGTGGATACTTGCCAAGCGTTGGACCGTTGGACATAAATCCCATAATTAGTGGTAGCCTCATCTGATAATGCCGACATGCTGCCACACCCTTTTTGCATTTTGTTGGCAAGTGGGTTTCTTACTCCTTTTAAAGGGTGCATCATGAGGGTTGCCTCCGTCGGCTCACACTGATCCGTCATTAATGTCCCCCTTTCCGGTGACCTGGCATGCATTCCAATTTGGCAGTTTTTGTCCGTTGACTCTTTTTGGTTCCCACCATCCTCCATTTGCTTTTCTATGCTTTTCTCTTGTTGGAAGATGGGCGCAATCAATTCCATTTTGGCTGTGTTAGCTTTCCTGCAGCTTGGCGCCAGCGTGGTCCCCCCATTCATCCCCCCCGGTTCTCCAACGAGTTTACCATGGTTTTCCGCAATCCCTGTATGAGGTTCTTGCTCTCTTTACATTTCTTTTTCAGATCGTGGCAGGGCAGAATTTGGTATTTGTTTGTGAGCTTGTTTTTGTCGCCTCCCCATGTCTCCCCATCTCCGACTGTACCGAATCTGCCGTGAGCAGTGCTAGACTTCAAGCCCACAGCCTTCCTTAGCCTTTGAGTTGTATGTGATTGTGCAAGTGTTTTGCCAAGACCTTAGATGACCAGATGACCAGATGCATCATTTACTTAAGTCGAACCCGGCACCAGCTCAAGTTCCTTAGAGCTACATTTGGTCAAGAGCAGGAGCCCAACCCTTTTGGCCTAAACTCCACCCTTCATTCAAGCCAGATTGCTGGCTGAGCTGACCTGAGTTTTGGCATGATGTTTGTGTCAGATAGGCATTTCAACACATGACCTTTGACCTGGAAATCGTGCATGCCCGAGGTCCAAGGAAGGCATCACCCTTTGGACTGTTAAGATGCGGGACATGGGTGGCACTTTGCTCAGCGTTATACTGTTGAATAGTTTGCAGTGCGCGTCTCATGTCAGGTTTAGCACAGTTGTGCGATTTCTAATTTTGGGGGCTTTGGCATGCTTTAACTTTAGCTATTGTATCAGCACCCCTTTTGGGCTGCAAAACCCGCGCACACTCATGCACACTCCTATTTTGCAACCAGATCAGCTTAGTGTGAGCAAGGAGGCGCGAAACAACTATAGCATGAAATAAAAAAGAAGTGAATAGTTCAGATCACTGCTATATAATTGCCGAGTTGTTGTTATACTATTATTTTCCCGAATGCGTAGCGAAAGGTTCTGGTTTAACTTTGGGAGTGTGAGGGTAGAGCTGTGTTCATGTCGCAACCGTCCGCAAGCGTTCGCATGCGACCGAAGGTGCGAGGGTCAGGACATTGTTTCTAGAAGCGATGCACTTGTTTCTACTAGCGAACATTGTTACTACTAGTAAGGCACTTGTTCCTAGAAGCGTGGCACTTGTTGTGCCTTTGGGATCTGGAGGTGTTGGATGTCGCTGTGCCTTCTTTTGCGTCGATTTGCCACTGCGGGCGCGGAACGCGGGCGGTGCTGCCACAGACCTGTTCGCCGCGAACCCATATGTATCAGTCACAAGTTCATCACGTAACAAGTTCAACCAGCTTGTCATTTTGAGCAGAAGACACCTGGTCATCATTGAGAGCTGCCACCTGTAACCGGGGTACACAGCCCTCGGCAACCACGCGACCTTTTCTCCCGAAAGTGTGTTTGCCGAGTGAACACACGGATTTGACGGACAAGGGCCAATGATCGCTGCCACCTCGAATCCAATCATCACTTCAACGTCTTTGACGAACTGGGCCAAACCGAATGATCAATCTGATGCCACTGCTTGGTGCGCTGGCGTTCCCATGTGCCATATTCCTTATGCTGCAAATGCGTGCACACAAGACGGAACGGTCGGCGTCCTTGTCCCCAGCAAAAATCTAACAACAACCGTCCATCAAGCGAGAAGACGTCCAAGCGGCGGGTGCCCACACGGACATTAAAGTCACCCTGAATGAAAACCTCCTTGTGCCGTGGTTGTTAAATAACGCTGTTGCCATTGGGATTTGCATTTCGGGCTGTTGCCGCGAAGCTGTTGTGCTTGGGTGATTTTAGTGGGTGTGATGGTGCAAGCATGTGCAAGCTGTAGACAGAAAGATGTGCTATGATGTGCTGTAGTGACGTTTCGTGGCAGGTGCGGTGCTTTGTGCGTGTTGGAGGTGCATGTTGAAATTGAATGTTCGTGGCAGGCGTAGGGAACGTTGAGGTTGTGACGTTTGGTGGAAGTGCATGTCGCGGTGCCATGGGGGTGTCAGCAGCTGTGGGCTTAGAGGGGCCGGAATCTTGGCAGGGCTGCACGAAACGCTCGTTTTGGAGACCTGACGCTTTACCCCAGGGTTCAAACAACCATTGTTTTAATGGTCTTTACCAAAGAAACATTGTTTTATATACTAAGGATCTTGCACTACACCACCAGCTCAACCGTTCTTTTAATGGTCTTTGAAGGCTAGGGTTTAGTTTCGTGTGCAGCGCTGGTTTTGGAGGAAGTCTCGTACGAAATGCTCGTTCAGAGCCTCGGGTCAGAACTGGCAACTTTCTAGTGACTGTAGTGCAAATATGTCGTACCATACTGGAAGTAGCTTCCAGGAGCCCCCGGCCACAGATGTGGTCCGGGGCGTAGGTCGTGGGAGATCTGGGCTGAGAAGTGGTAGTGGTAGTATGCGGTGGGGCGAAATTACGTCTCTTGATGTTGGTGTGCCATGTGTTTTGGCACGGCCTTGGTGGAAAAATGGCCCCCGGTCATGGGGAAGGAGAGCATGTGCTGTAAACGTGGGCGTGTTGGCGGTGAGCGGGATGATTGGAGGCTTCATGTCACATGGTTGCATTTTTATAGTCCGTGGCACGAGGTGCGGCGAAAATACGTCCGTCATGCCGCTGTGCCATGCAGTTTGGCCCGGCCTCGTGGCTCTGTGCCATTCCGGGATAGAAAAATGCGTGTGTGAACGCGGTGTGCTGCTGGTGAGCGGTACTTTGTGGTTTTAAAAAGAGTGCACAAGAGATTAGAAGAGTGTCCTCCAATGGTGTCCCACAAGAGGGTTCCAGTGTCTAAGGAGAGTGCAGAGTGCTCCACAAGAGTGCCCAACGAGAGTGTCCCACGAGAGTGTCCCATAAGAGTGTCAAACATTGTTTGGCTGTTTGTTTTCAAGTGCCTGTGTGCATTCGAGTTCGTGGGTTCCATCTTGTGTTCAGCCACTGTAACTGCTCTTGCTACATCTTACTCCATTTTAGGTCTGCTTCTCAAAAATCATGTGCAGTAGTGCTTTGCTCCGCCAAGGTTGGGGCCGAAAGGTGGCTCAAATCACAAACATGGAGGCGCCCACAGCTTTGGCGTGGGTTGCGGGGCCCAATATTCGGCCGATGGGACTGCTCAGCCTGCTTGGCAGCCACTGCGGCGGGATGCACAATGATCCACACATCACATGTTATCATGCTACCTTGTTTCGCTGGTTTGTTCTGCCAATTGTGCTTTCCATGGAAATCATTACTCATGAAGGCTCATGACTCGTTCCGCTAACAACATCCCGAACAAGATTTCTTCATACCAGATCCGAAGGCAATGTGTGTCAAAGTTCATGTCGTGTATATACCAGGGTGACGTGAAACCTAATATAAAAGGATATTTATAGGACAGTGCGTCCGCCTCTCAAGGTCTAATAATATCTAATTTAATGGTGTGACAGTTGTGACATAAGGGTCGGCAATCTTCCAAGACTTCACAAGAACTGTTTTTTCAAAAGAAGTGACATGCTGAATGGGAGTATGAATCAGGAACAAAACAAGTTAGGGGCGCATAGGGCATGTTGTGGCAGTGTTGATATCTTCCGGGATTTTGAATAGTCAGGTTTGATGTATGTAATTTTTGTTTTTGTGAACAAGTTCCACTGCAGACCATAGCCAGTGTAATAGCACAGCTTGTATAGATAACCACAGCGCGGCCCCTTTGTGTCAAGGAAAACGTTCGTATGGTAGCGGAGCAAGGATAAGGGTAACCCCCTTTGAGCTCCAGAAAGAAAAGCCCCTAGGTCACTGGGATCCCGGGAGCGTTTTCGAGCCATAGATTTGGGGCCTTTGGAACCCAAACGGCTGAACTGGTGGTAAATTGTTGTGAGCTGCACTCTGTACCCCGTAGATTGTGTCAGAAGGACATTATTGTGCAGTGAAGATGGGGGAGATAGGGGGGTCCTCACAGTTATAGCACAGAGTACACAAGCAACAACCTC